AAGTGAAAAAGTATAATAATAATAAATTTATTTATTTAATAAACTTACAGACAAATTTGACATTGACAGTTGACATTGACAAATTTGACATTGAAAGCTTGCAATATTGGATTTCACAAGGTCATGTGTGTTTGAACTAGATAATTAATTATCTGTATTTCAGGCATCAGCGCTATTCCGTGAAGACAAAAACATGAGAAAGATTTCAAAACATTAAACATTATTTTCTAAAGTAGACCTGGGGATATTGAGTTTAAATTTGAAATCACTTTAATTTACTCATAACTTTAGGTGTGATAGCGATCTTCCAGAGACTAGAATGGAATTAATTGAATGCGTGTTAGAGGGTGTGTGGGTTAGGAGAGAAAAACTACTGTATAAAACTTAATAAGACCTCGGTTTTGTTCATAAGTTAGTTTATGGATTTGTTTTGCTTTTGTTTAATGAATGTGTATAGATTGTGTCATTAATTTTCTTGGATAGATGTGGACCTTAAAAACAATAACTTTTTTTACATATTTATGTTAAAATTTTATTAGGTTTTAACTATAATTCTCGTCATTTCGAATATGAACTTTATCTACAATTTTATTAGGTAAACATATTTACTACTGCTGGTTGGACGGTTCTCTATGTCCAGAACTAGAGACACAACGTCAGAACTTACTTTATAAGAGCAAAGACCAATAAGAGATCTTGTTGATGTCATTATACATAATCTGTCTCGTGTAAATACCGTGTGGTTCATTATCTTGTAATATAATTATTCCTTTATCCTATGCTAACTTTTTTTATAATTCTAACTGCCGTTTTAAATGATGGTGATGATGCTGCTAAACTTTTTTAAAAGAGCTATTATTTTTTAAAAAACCCTCAACATAAAGAACATAATGCAACAAAATTAACAAATTATTTGTATTGTTAAGTATATTAAATTATAAAATGTTCACAATTAACGCACACACTCAATAACGCTAAAAAAAATGTCACAGAAAGACGCAGTGTTTCACGAATAATGCAAGGTCCTGCTTATGATCTTCCCGCACTCCAGATCCCGCCCGAAGGACCAAAATGTAGGATGAGCCTACACTAAATGATAGTTGATAAATGATAAAATATGATAAGATGATACACTGATAAATTGATATTATGAAAATAATATAACGAGAATTATTATGATTGATTCGAGTGTCCAACGCACACTGATCGAAATAGCGTGGTGCACGCCACGAGTAAGCCATATTGCTGCACACACATTTTTATAATGTAGGTTATTAACTGTACAATTATTACCAATAATTTTGTTTATATCGGACTCTCGGATCCATAGAGATAGTAACAATTGAGAAGCTGTAGATCTCCTTGTGACAGAGTTCGTCCAGAGAAGTGCTGCCACCTTACCTATTTCTGCCGCCAAGCAGTAAGCAGTAAGCAGTAGCAGCAGCGAAATCACAGGCACATAGAACTTGTCAACTTATGTCTCAGGGTGTCCGGTGCAGTGGCGGTAGCCCTGAGATCTTTGTGATTTAAAACTCTGAGTGGCACTGCACTGTTAGGGACAGGCATGTCGCTTACCACTAAGTACACCACTTGTTGGTACCGTCACTTAGATTTGGAAAAAAAGCATATTTTAAGTTTAAATTGGAGTAATCTTTCGACAGGAGGACACATGCTACAACTATCGGGCTTGAAACCGTATACTGCTGTACTCGGTGCTATACCATCGGAGAGTCTTATCTGTCGGCAAGGCCCTAAGGGTGCTATTCGAGTCAAGCTAGGAGTAAGGCACAACTCTTTCTTATTATACTAAAGAAGTAATATATACGTGTCTCAGCAAACATTTATTAATAACTTACCATTTAGAGTAAGACTAGAGAACGTATTAGTAGTATTAAGAAATTCCTGAAGAGTGGCAGAGGGAGCCGAGGGCAGAGAGGGGCGCGGAGATGGTGGCGGTGGAGATAGCGCTGAGCCAGGTGACACAGACCCTGAAGAACAGGGTGTTGAACCACCACAGTACCTAGAATATAACAGTTCAGATTAAGAAAAGGATAATTAAGAAAATGAAATATCGGCAAGAACTGTTGGTAAATGTTTTCGATATTTTTTTTAGAAACAGACATAAAAGATATCCATGGTTATAGTTATAAGGAGAACATTTAGGTACCCTTTTATTTTGCAAAAGAGTTCATATACAGAGTAACAATCTCGTGAACATATTTATATTCCGATTATATGTTTACATGGGATTGTTTACATGAAATTACGATGTATATACAAGTATGATGTAAGGAATAAAATCAATGTACCTATAAGTATTATCGCAGAATTCAAAACTGAATTCGCTACTAAAGGTGGTAGTGTCATCGAGCAAGGGCGCCATGAGAGCATCTTCGCCGACATTGCCGCCGCTTTCTAGACCGCACCCGGAAAGCAAGGACGAGCTTTCGTTCTAAAAATAATAAACAATGTGTATTGGTTAGTAGCTCATAAAGAAAATAAAGTGGTTGGCCTGGTTTTCTTTGAAAGGAAATTTTTAAACAATAATCTATTATTATAGAGTAAAGGATTCACCTTTTACTGCACATAAGACAGGAGTACGGATAACTGACATTATTGAGAGTAATGTAGATAATAGTAGAGTCACAATCCACTTATTACTGCATACAGGAGTTTCTACTTACATAAACCGTCAAAAAGAATGGCAGCCTTTTATCTTTAAATGCGTTCTTCATTTAACTCGTGATATTTTTTCTTTAACCTATTCTGACCAAGAACGAATTTCACATGAGCCTCTTTTGTGTTCAAATCTTACCTTTATCCTGTCTGGCATAGCTGCAATGATCTGCTCTGCCAGCGTGAACACCCGGTCATCCTGCTCCCCTGAAAGGATTTTGTGAAGTACATTCTGATATCACACAGTTTTACTTACATTTATTTAAGAATCGCTCTTGTCTGTTATTTTCTTTAAAACTCACGCCTAAGCCAATCGACCACATAAATTAGCTGGTCTCAAACTAGGTGATTCCCTGTATTGTGAGTACTAGAACAATAAAATTAACTCCGGGAAACTAGTCGGAAAAAAATGTTTCGTTCCATAGCTTAGTTGGGAGAGCATCTGGCATAGTATACTTGAAGGCACTGGTTCGAATCCAGCCGGATCGAAGGAATTTGTCTTCGTGTTCTATCTTTGTATCAATAAATTAATAACTTTGTATTAACAAACTAGTGGAGTCATGTCACAAAAATGATAGCAAAATACAGTTATGTTCAGTAAACTTAAATCTTAAATTGATTGTTATTTTGATGTAAGATAGGATTACATCTGTACATAATGTCACCTGATGAAAAGTGAAAATATATATGAGGATGGTGCTCTCTTCTGGCTGTGGTTTAGAAGATGCTTGTTCTCGCTGACTTTAATATATATTATTCAAATGTTATAGTTTCCACACTAAAAACTACAAAAAAAAAAACACAGTACAGTTGTAGGTCTTTTGGCTAACCACTTAGTAGCCGGCCAGCCCATCCACTCCTTATTTTGACAGAGCTTCCAGCCAGGGCTCGGAAATTCGTCAAATCTCTGGTGACTTTCATTGCCATGGTTTCTAATGGCTGGTTAAAAGGCTGATGAATAATTCAACGTTGGTTCATTTCTACAGACAAAAGGAATCCGTAATTTTCTAACATCGAATCACATTAATGCAAATAGCATACACATCAAGTAAATAAACGGTACATTATTGCTAATACTTATTATATTCTACATAATTTTTATTGTAGTCTTACAGAGCCCAATGATTAACATAAAAACCAATATAAATTTCAAAACCTGTAAGGCTTTATCTGCGTTCTGAATGTGTAGAATCTGAAATATCACTTTGATTTTGAGGCTTACTTCTCCAAGTTAGATGATTAGGGGCTGTTGTTGATTAAATCACAATTGGAACGTATTTTTCGTCCAATCCCAAAATTGTTTTACAAATGGTGTCTTAATTATCTTGCAAAAATTTTATATGTATTTTCAACTGCTGTTCACAATTAAATTAATTTAAATCAACTGTTGTTTTCAATTACTTATGCTGCTAAATTGTTTAGTCAACCAATTATAGTTAACTGTCAACATTTATATCCAATAAATAAAATAAAATATTTTGTTTCTACTGGAAACAGTGTCAAAGCACTTACCTTTATTAAAATAGCAACTTTAAATACTACACATAAAAAGCTTCGAATAATAGATGTCAATCATGCAAGCCATTGAGCCACCATGCAGTGTTATTTGTAACGTATCGTTGTAGAATTTTGCTTAAAATTTACGTGTTTCAGGACATCTGTAACATTTGTAGATAGTATTGGGAGTGTCAGGTTGAAGAAATTTTAAAGCCAATCGATTTGAGTGTGTTTCGAGGTAAAGTGATAGTGAATAGACCGATACGAACCATTTAAAGCGACATCGATGGACAACATCGAGTAAGTCAAACCGATACCGATATTCCAAATACCACCACGCACTTAGAATATCACTTTGACAATAATCAATACAACTTACACGTAGACGTTGAAATTCACTATCAACGTTCGCCAAGCACATATCACATCGGTTTGACTTAAAAAGAAAAACTAACATCAACACAGAATACATCTGCTCGTAATAGGAGCAAAATTACAGAAGAATCTACAAGTGGGATCTATCAAAGTACAGGTGATCACGTTCAGGGCTAGACTAGCGACAGTAGGACAGTATGCAGACGACGTTGAGAAGAAGGATCGAGCGGCCAGAGCAACTACTACATTCACAACATCGATAGTAGGACGAGCGGAGGGATGCTACGACTTGAAATGGTGTAGAACAAAATTCACTCGATATTTGTTTCTTTTGGTAATACATTTCATAATAAATAATTTTCACGATATTGGCATATTGATCGAGCAATAGTAAAATTGTTGGTTTTTATTTGCTTTATGCAAATCACTGTCTGCATGTTTTGGTTCTAACATTTTATTTACAGTACGGTTTGTCTATTCAGTCCAATTTGTTTTAATCTAATAATCATTATTTTTTTCATCTGTTCCAAGTACAACTTTTTGAATATACGTTTCATCATTTTCATCTTTAATATCTACCACATAATTATTAGATTCAGAACCTGTTACATTGGCTTTGGTACATTGTTATATTACCGATTGACTTTACTGATTTGGGCGGTTAAAAGTCTTTTGTACACCATTTATTGGGTCATAGGTTCTATACCGTTTCGGCAGTCGCAGCACACTGACCTGGAACGGGCGTGGCGGCCGGGGGCGGCTCGGGTGGTGGTGACCTTGACGCGTCCGACAGCGCCTCCACATCTATGAGTGGCGACGCCGCACCCGGCGCCGTCTCGCCTGGACAACCACCTCTTTCAGCTACGCCGCCAACCGGACTTGAGCTCTTTCTCTTTTTTTCCCACCGTATTTGAGATACGTATATGCGATGTTTTTGACGTAATTTTTTTTCGAGGTTTTTTTCGAAAATTTAACTTTTCGAGGCTTAATACCATTGAATTAAACCATCGTTTCGTTAATAACCAGTGACGAGAGTCTAATTATTTGAAAAGCGTGTCACATTTATTTAGCGACCTATCAAAATTTGTGGTTTTCACTAACGTATATCATTTCGCTAGTTAATTCCTCGACTTTGTAGAAATTGCGAGCCCGGATGCACAGTTAGAGGTTTCATTAATGTACACATCTTTAGTTTTCGTCACTATTTCGAGAAAGAAACTCATAATTCCCGTTACGTGCCACTCATTTGCCGAATCCTTCGACGTAGCCAACCGAATTCCGACCTTAACATCAGGCGACGTGCCGATAAATAAATAATCGTCAGCAAATGAAAATTTAACTATCTATAAAGATCCTTTTAGCTTGTGTATTGGACTTACAAAGAGCGAGGTCCATACGTCGTCCTATTTTTGAATCGCCGAGACTGTCTTCGGAATTGTCGGAGTCCAATGGAAGGGACATGCTGCGTTCCCATCTAAAACAGTTTTTTCAGACCATGAAATAATATTTTATTAACAAGATTATAAAGTACAAACCTTAAGACTTCAATGGGTTTGTACTATAAATTAAAGATAGGGTAGGTCATCTCACCGAGCAGATGATTTTGCATCAACTTTGTCAATAGCTGAATTACTCCGGAATGCGTCTGCCATGTTGATACCGCTATCTATCGAAGGTCGCTTTACTAAGTTGCTCTCTATACTGCCCGCGCGTCCTTTTTGTGATAAACTGAAATATGGAACGTTTTTATTAATACCTGTTGTAGGCCATTGATTTTGAGACAGTTTTGATTTTAAGATCTATAGCAATTAGTATGATGAATGAAGGAAAAGGTTTCTGTCATACGACCAGTCGTGAAACCACCGAAATAAAGACACGCACACCAAGGTAAATTGATCAGAAACGTTTCCCTCTCGTGTCCTGTAGAATGTGATATGATGTTCAAACTAGCCATACATATATTTCGAAAGCACAGTCACCTATTAGGCCTTAGAAACACCCCATCCCTAGGTGGAGGATGTATCCTATCCAGCATTGAAGCGAGCCTTTGGTGTCCAGCCCTTTGTGCGGTCGCTGCTGCCTCTCTCGCACCAGATTCTAGCTGTTGACCGGCGCTCCATCGGGCTAACACTACTGCTGTTTCGACGTGACCTGCTGCACTCGCTACCATCTGCAATTTTAGGTAAAAATAAATTAAATCTATGTGTTTACAACATTTGGAAAATTATCAGTAATAGAGGAACTTAATAGTTTAACTTAAATGCGTAGAGCAAATAAATACCCAAACACAACGTCGAGTTGAATCGAGTCTGCTCACTCTCCTCGTAATGACTTACGGAGATAGTGAGAAGACTACAGATAGAGAGGGAGAGAGAGAAAGTAATAGTAATAATAATGTGCCAGACAATCGCATCAGTTACTTGGGGCCGTAGAGTAAGTTTTAAATATGTAAACTTAACCACCGCGTTTGCGTAAAGATTTCAATTTAAACCTTATAAATATATATTTAAGATCTAAATAAAAATCTTAACGCAAATGCGGTATTCTCAGTCAATTCTCAGTACTTTGAGTATCCGAGAACGAAATTCACACCCAGAACACCTTGACCAGAATCATCCTAAATTGGTCTAGCGCCAAAAAGCACACGGAGGTTCTAATGCCGTCAATATAACCTCCTTATGCTTTTATTTTGATAGTAAGCCTTTACAATTGTTATTCAGTGAACGTGCTAAATAGTAGCACGCGCTGGATATTCATGAACATAAAGTTGTCTTTTTACATTAACTCACCAAAGGCGTGCAATTGTCGCAGTCCCTAGCTCCTAAATTTACTTCTTTCTCCAACGCAAGGCTGGTATCATCTTGCCTCCATCTCAGCAGTACAGTTGTCAGTTTGGTATACCCAAGGGCCGCAGCCAAATGCAATATTGTTGAACCATCTTCTCCCGGTTCTGTAGTAAAACCTTCTGATGTTCCAGCTGAACAAGCGCTTAAGGAACGACAGAAATATACAAGGCGCTCTTCAAATTTTGGATTGGAGTACAGCTGGATGTCTTCAACCTGGAAAAGTTTTTAAGACCGGGTTTATTGATGATAATTAGGTACTAATAAACTGAGTCAACATTAAAATTATGCAGAAATCTTAAATGCATCATAAATTTAAAATAATAAGCTTTACAAGAGACTTAAATTACATTCGTTTGTCAGAAACGTAATAAGTGGAGGTCCATCGTCTATGCGTAATAATATTAATCTTTGAACTATGTCCAAACTCATGGTACCACGATTTCGTACAGCTAAGGTAAACAATTCTTTTAGAGAACGAAGAACTGTATACGTTTTTACTTTAAGATTCCGGAGCATATACTAAGATTACTATTTTCTAAGTTTAAAACTTACATTACAAGTATTTGTATTGAAAAGTCATATTACAAAATTGTAGACTACATATCTTAGGTTTTCGCGATTGTTACACATAGGAAATGAAACTATTTTTCCGGATTTAAATGGCGCATATTTGTATTTTCAAACAAACCGACGTTTCGGGCCGTTTACAGGTCCCGTCAACCGTGACCATGGGACCTGTAAAGGGCCCGAAACGTCTGTTTGTTTGAAAAAACCAAATATACGCGATTTAAATCCGGAAAAATAGTTTCATTTCATATGTAGACTACATGTTGGATAAAGATATATAGAAAGACAATATGAGTCTAGATTCCACACAAATATGATTCAAAGTGTATTCTATAGCATTTAAGTTTATTTGAAAAGAGCAATCCTTAGAGTTTCTTGTTCGTTCTTATCAGGGCGGTCAGCGCAGTGAACGAGCAGTAGCTTAAAAAATGACGTTTTCAAGTGTAAAATTTTTACCTACGGAATAAATGATTACTTGACTTTCCTTTGTAACCGGAGACAGGTATAACGGTATGTATGTGTGAATTTCATCAAATATCTCAACCTGGCACAGGGTTCTTGTTTTTAAGAATTTATTGGACAGATTAATCGTTTTATATTACCAATAACTCAAGAAGACGGCTAATCTCCATATTATAGATCGCAACTCCGAAAAAGGTCCAAATTCCGTCTCATACCTAGGTGGCGCTGATCAGTAGCCTGGCAGTAGTTTATATTATATTCGTATGACCGTGGGCATGAATTCATTCATATTTCGTATTTTCTGAACTTTGATAAAGATGCATGTCAATATACGGTTACGAACTAATTTATAAATTAACGCTTGCTAATATGGGTAGATGGCGCTAATCCTAAACAAACTAAAAGAATAACCGACAGGATTAATAAAAATCTGTGCAATAAGCGCCATCTAGTGTATTGGTTTGTTATCACTAGAAATTAGAATAGCTTTGATAAATTGCAGAACGTCAATGTTTTTTGTCTGGCACGGTGTGTTTTTTAGCATACCGTGCCTAACGCTACACCAACAAAGCCACGGAACGAACCAGCGGACCTCACGAATTTCTTTATGTGCTTGCGTCGTATCTTTGTATTTGGTTTTTCAACTACTGTTTTAGCCGTAGCGCCATCTATGGCAAATGTATGATATTTCGTCATCCAGTTTACAGCTACCAGCCTCGGCTAGAGATGATATGTTCTAAATTAGTTTAAAAAAATGCTATTTGGTCCTCGACGCGACATCAGGTGTACTAAGAGGTACTAAGTATCCGACTACGCTGTCTTGTATCTCGATTAGCAGTAGCTCTTGGGTTATTGGTCCATGATATTACTTACCTGATTATTATCATCCATGGGTTCAGTCTTCATCTGCAGTCGACCATGCAGCCGTTGCAAGCGATGAAGCAACGAGAAACGTATAAAATCCAACGTCGGCAAAGGGGCTGACGCAGGCGATGTTGGTGTCGGAGCTGGCCCAGCCTTATACTCGAAAACTACGGTGTCTGAGACTACACGACCGCCACGTGCTACTTGCAGGGCAGCTAGGCCAGCTTCATGAGCTGAAAAAGATGATTAAACAATAGTTTTATTTCTTAGAAACGTTTTCGGTCGACGGATATCCGGATGTGTATTATCCAAGCTATCCGGTGTACAAATGTGTTTAGAGTAGACATGTGAGCCACGCTAAAACCGACGTGATGAAAATGTATTTTATTTTTTGAAGTATCAGATTCTTCATTAATTATTTACCATATTTCAATACAATATTTTAGTACAATGAAAATTAATTACGTTTCAACTACGTATATCTATTGATACTGGATTTAAATTAAGAAAGTGTATGTTTGTGATTGTTTTTTTTACTGACATTATTTAAGTTTTTTTTTAGCAACAGTATTCGTTAAACTACAAGTCAAAGTGTAATAAAATTTGAAAATGAATACGAAGGTTGATTGGAATAATATTTTTTGTGATTAACGTTGATTATGCCTCTATCGACTCCACTATCGACCTTAAATATAAATGACAAAGTCAACTTAATAGAATGCGTCGAGTATTTATCGGAAATCCCTAAAAGTAAGTCATGCATGGCTAGCTGTCTTTTTCTCGGTTGCTGGTACCAAGTTTCATCATGTATTTCGTCTTTTTGACCAGCAAATGATAAGTACAACAACATTAACTTGTTCAATAAAATATTTTACCTGGGCAATAACACCTTAATAACCCATTCTGCACCAGCGTAGATGGCACTGGAAAGTTATCAAACAACACTGTATATTGATCTGATGACTCTGTCCAGGGTCCGGCTACCAGCACCTTCACTCCTCCTTCAGGATACGCCCATTCAGGGGAATAGTCCGTAATGCTGAGAGCTCCTTCGCCGTTGCATTCTGTTTGCATTTTTTCAGGAGGGGATTGTTCTGCTTGTGGTGATTTTTCGTGGATTGTCTGGAACATGAACGACTAAGTGTTGACCTTAATTAATATTTGTCCAAGACTAATGTTGATTACTTTATTTCATTGCTACAAACATTAATTTATCATCAAAATTAATCTTTTGATAATATTCTGTCTGTAAAACGAAAATTTTGCGTTGATTTTCCAATAAGGTAAAATTTGCGAAAATATTACGCACGTTAAATGATAATTCATGAACAAAAAATAAATAAACCATAAAAATCAATATAATATAAAACTTACCACTGGATTATGCGATATTGTTGTAGGATCCAATACCTCCAGTTCTGGAAAATCTCCCAGCATATCAAAAGCATCCAAATTAACAAAAACATTGTCATCAACAACGTGTGTAGGCGATGCAACAGCCTCACAACTCTCTATGAAGTCCATTGTATCAATGCCCGATACCATCACATTAGCTGTCTCAGTAGATCTCACGCTACTTCTATCTAATTCACAAGTAGGCATATTAGCTGATAACGTCTTTTGAATATCTTCGTGCGATAGCTCTAGAGTCTCGTCGAAGAATCCATGGGATGGTCCTAAATGTCCATCGGTACCTAGCAATACTAGAGTATCATCACAGTCTGTTAAAACCTTACTTTCCAGCCTTTCCCCTGAACCGGGATATCTAGACGGAGTTGCAGGAGCACTAGCTATAATTTGATTTCTAATTCGAGGTTCCATTTTTATTTTCCTATCAAAACTTATTTCTACTTTCTCCTCGATGTGATTTTCGACTTTGAATGTTGAATCTGAGTTCTGATGACACGAGGAGGGTTGACTGTCGGGTATTTCTCGTTTTAGTACGAAGGTTGGTTGTCGATACCTGTCTCTTGGTTCTTCGCAGACAAATGACGTTACCGATAAGGGTGACACCAAAGAGGAATGTTGTTGAGCGCTGTTGCCTGCGCCGTTAAGTATTAACAAGCCGCCTCCTCCTTGAATCTGTCCTAGAGATAATAATAATGGTGATGCCGGTTGTGGCGAAGGTCTATGGTCTCTCGTGTACTGCCGCGGTGGTTGAGACATAGGCCGAGGTGATGGTCCTGTAGTAGATGAAACATGGTGATCAGATGGTGGAGGTTTAACCGCTTGTATGCGCCGTAGAGGATGAGCACAGGTCCTCGAGTCTTGGCAGGTGGAGTCAGGACAACCGCATTCCAGCTGCCTGGCCAATGCAGCAGCTCTTGCCGCTCGTTGCTTCTCCATCAACTGGCCTACAATGGCTTCCACCGTTTCCGCCGTTTGGAACATTTTGCCCTGAAATCATGAATAAGTATGTTCTTTTAGTAAATTATTTTAACAGTATATTGAAAAAATTGGAGCGTCCGGATTATAAGGCTTACAAGGCCTGCTTTAACGGTTTCTTTGCATTAAAGTTTAGCTTTAATCATTACTTATACTTCAACATTGAAACCTTCTCTTACGTGTTCTTCTGTGTGTTAAAAATAAAATTAAAAATCCTTACCGAAATCTCCAGCTCATTATTGATGTCCGGTTCGTCTTCGCTGAAAACTGAAACAGAAATTTAAATGAAACATTAATAGGTTTCCAACGAAAATCCTTAAATAATAAACGAAAGAACTCAAATTTATACGAGATAATGATCAATTACTTAGCTGGATTAATTTCGCGTAATAAAATTAAGTTTCATCGTCGATTTCATAAATATTCAACGAAGGGAAGCTTCCGTGTTCCATACATTTATGAAAGGAAACTGAGGGATCTTGGATTAAGCTATTCGTATCAGAGTTATTTAAATTTATGCAGATAACTTTCAAAGACGGGCTGTTTGTATTCATGATTATTTTATCATCAGTATCTTATATCGTAATTCAATATAGCACTTTGATTATATAGCTAAACTCAAGACGTCAACATTAGTTCATAACGGTGATTTTAGTTCCCTGTAGGACCAATTTGGTAAACAAACTTTTCATCATGATTAGGTGATTGTCTCGCATATAATTAACTCTCCAAACAAAATAAGAATTGTTAATTAATGGAAGGGCTTAACTTGTCTATAAATTTTTAAATCGTCTTACGTTTCCAGATGCTTGTCTATTGATATGTTTTCACTAGATTTATTCAAATGGTTTCTCACATATACCACATATACAAAGAGCAACTCGTGCTTATTCCTCTCGGGGGGCTCTATTTTGCAGATGATAACCTTTATTCTTAGATTTTTTTTTCAAATGGCACAAATACTAGTATATCAATAAACGAAATCTTTGTCCTTATTAACTACGTCACTCTAGTTAGAGTAGTAAACGCATTCATTTTGTCTTGTCCAATTACAAAGTCCTTATAAAACACGACGCCCTTAGGTTATCCATTTGTCGAAAGTATATTTTCTCCATTTCGCCTGTCGATAATTTCCGTAAAATGGGTCTATTTGAAGAAACGAAGGGCTATTTGAGAAAATTCAAAAAAGATGAAATTTCTTTGTAAATCTGAACGCGACCATGGCAAGCTTATAGAATTTTGCCGCGAAGCTGGTATCGATTTAAATTAACCAATCAGAAAAGTTTTTTCGTAAAGGGCGTTTTTGTAACTGAAAACGGATTTTTGTAAAAGGCGGCGATTTTTTGGCGTTCCCAATTTTTTCCTTAGACTATCCCTTTGCTTTTTCCATCCTCTAAGGTTTTTTCTCCCACACGATTATTTTGGTAAGCTTACGAAATTTAATTAAGTTTTTAACCCATATTATTCAGTAATAACAGTTTGCTTTGCTATAGTGGTTTTTGTATTATAAAATTTATTCAAATCATTATGAAATGCGTTATTTCGTTATTATCAAATAGCCTGTTTCCCAAATAACCCCTTTGTTAGAATTATATTACACATATAAATATGTTGCGATCATAGAACGAAAAACCCAAAACGCGTTGTGTTCTTTTTAAGTCCATAACACGTTATTCTGTTGTGGTACTTGTAAAAATAGCTATGTGTTTAATTCAAATACTCCACCGTATGAAATTCCTGTTTCGGCTCTCATAGTATTTGACCACTACAAGTTGTGGTTATTAGTTAACTTGTCTACTTACACATAGGCTTGAGTTGGCTGACAAGTTCGTCCTTCGTCCATTCCTTCTTATCGGCCCAGAGAGCGAGGCTTGGAGCAACTGTAGCCAGCTTGTTGTCATCCGGGTATGGCACGTTCAGGTAATGCACCAGGACTATGTCAGGGTTCTATAATTCGAACAGATTTATCTGATTAATTATTTTGTCTTCAAATTCTTTACATATTATTTTTATGTCATTATTGCTATACACAACAACGATTTAACAACAGTAAAAAAAATCAGAACGAAATTCAAAAATGGCAACAAACTTTAAAAGTTTACGTATAATTCCATAGTGACGGCCACTAGACTTGGGCCCTTCGATTATGGAAATTCCATCCTCTAGGCTTGGGCCAGTGTCAGATTCGATGTGTTGTCAACTTAGACTATGGAAACGCCTCTCATTTTTCCAACCAGGGAAGGAGGAACGACCGCGTAGATCCGAAAACCATTCTTATACTCTAACCAAATTCGATGTAGCCAATATAATGACCGTTACACTGCCGGTTTACTCTGGATAAATTCTGGAAAAAATGCAACGTGCACATTTTTTTTATTGATTACGACAATAAGGCCGTCAATCTGAACAAATTTTATATAAAGAAAATAAATACCATAAGACAATAATTCTAACAAAATTTGCATCAATGACTATAGTCGCCCAAATTCATAGCTCGGCTTGTTTTATTTATTTTTCTTCATTTTCTAACGTTACCTTAACAAATTTGATTATTACATATTATTCTCTTTTCTTTTCTTTTGACAGCTAAAATCCTTTAAATCCAGGTAATATGAAGAAAATAAGTACTTCATTATTACACACGGTTGGACGACTCGGTTTATCAAAAAAGACAGAGACATGCCTATGAATTCATACAGCATTATCTCTATCCTATTTTTAGGAAGGAATACACAATATTGGGAAATAATTGTTTCTGTTCCATCACTTTAACTATAATGGATTATTCATTTGACTGGTTTGTTATGGTATAAGTATGAATATTGCCGTTACGAGCTTACAGCAATGTTTGATTAGCTAAGAATGGTTTCTTAAAAGGGTGTGGTAAAGCCCGAGGAATTTAGTCCCGCAATCTCTTTCTTGTTAAAAGCTGTTTAAATATATTTAAAGCTTTTTATATATTGATAATATTATTATGGATACTTTCATTCTAATCATTAAGTTCTCTTCTTACTTCTATATTTTTAACTCGGTTTGTTCTTAGTTGTTTAGAAAAGATATTAATTATTACAGATTTTGAATTTCTTACTTTATAATAATTATCTTATTAAAAGCCATTCTATTTTATGTTCGGCTATCTCCATAGCCGTTTCCTTTTATGCCACGGCACCCATTTTATTTTTATCTGGTCAAAATACTTCATTCTAGGTCTTCCTGGCACACGCCTGGCGTCCAATTTATCGGTCTTCTAAATAGTTATCGTATTGTGTAACGTGGTCCACTATACTTCTTCTTCGAATTTCAACATTCTCTATGATGTTACTTAATTTTTCACTATTTCTGTTACCTCTTCTATAGTACTAGTAATCATGTAATATAAATTGTCGGTACTGCGAAGCAGCAATTCAGTACTGCATTATTTATGCTAATGCAGCTTTGAGACTTAATTACGTTTAATTTTCATGGTGGTCATGCAAAATTTTAGGCGCAAACATTACTGTAATAAGTACCTTGTTACATTTGCGTTCTTGAATTTGTGTTTTGTCAATTTATGCTCTTTTATGTGAGTTAATTTTAAAAATTATAATATATTATAATTTTTGTGAACACGGCTTATTTAGCTATACCTTACTTTCTGATTCTCTCTAAAACGAGAAGTACAGAGACACAAAGAAATTACTTTACTTAATGAGAAGGAAACTATGTTCTGAAATTTAAATATACACTGTTTTTCTTTTCAAATAAACCAACATAAAGGGCTCTTTACAGAACTTGTAAAGAGCCCAAAACTTTGGTTTCTTGAAAAAAAAAAATTATACATGATTTATATCCGAAAAATGTCGTTGCTTATAAACAAATATCAATCAAATAAAAGACAAGATATGTTGCCTATGAATATAAATTACAAACAATACAACCATTAAAGGACGAACAAACGAAAATTGGACTCTAAATTGGTACAATTTGCTTCCCTTCGTAATTAAAGTTAAGTGAGGCTTGAAAAAAGCCATTCATTCAAAAAGAATGCCGAATAACGAGCAGCCGAAGCACACAAAACTTGTAAAAAAAGAAACAAGAAGAGATGGCGAACTGGGGACTGTCGGTAAATCTACTGGCGTTAAATATTTGGAAAAGACGACGAAATTAGTCGCTACAAATGAAATCCTTTTTTACTCGAGATGCACCTCAGTTGCATCTCATGTGACATCTACACTTATACACAGTTAACATGAAAATTAGGAAGTATTAATTAGTGTGGACCTATGACTTTTAAATACGATATAATGATAAATGCATTTTAGTATAATTTGACAATAACTAAGATACTTCATTTGACTAAACAAACACTCTCGCTAAGATGATAACCAATAAAAATAACAGTCAAGGCGCTCTCAACACGAACGTCGTTTGGTCCTATTTTGCATTTTAACTTATCCAACTCAATGATTTTCTGTAAGGAAATTGAATGCCTGCACTTTAGCACTGAGAGTAAGAACCAGAAAAAAGATAAGATACGGAATGAAGGGACTTTATGTGTGCTGAAATAACAAATAACCTTTCGCGTTTTACCCAATAATGATTTTTCATGCATGAATTAACTTTAGGAAAAGACATGAACTCAGAAGAATTCTAAGTAATATCTTAGCTTTTTTTTTAACCGGACTTAGGAGCCATTTATACGGGCCTTATACTTAAATCTAGGGATGGCAGGCATCTAATCATAGGGTAAATGCAATTTGGATTACCAATGGGGTAGGTGGAAATTATTTGGCACTTTGTGAAGTACTTACTACCACCACATCTTTTCTGCCGCTAAGAAATAGTGTGAGCATTAATGCATTCTATAACTGAGGAGAAAAGGTGTTAAAGTACAGGCATATGGGACTTGCAACTTTATGTCTCACGGTGAGTGCAGTGGCAGTACTAACTGGTATCGTGACTGTGGCATCACAGTACATTTACTCAAATATTTTATATGCCCGTAAAAATATACATAATTTCAATAAGAAAGAAGATATCCATAATATTAACCTTAGAGCTAAGTCCAAACTCATGGTACCACGATTTCGTTTAACCAAGGTAAACGACTGTTTTATGGGGAGCTGTATACGTTTTTACAATAAGATTCCGGAACATATATTAAGATTATCATTTCCCAAGTTTAAAAACTACTTTAAAAACATTTTGATTGCAAAGTCATATCACAAAATTGAAACTACGTGTTAGATAAATATATATGGAAAGACGATATGGCTCCAGAATCCACATAAATTTGATTCAAAATGTATTCCATAGCATTTAAGTTTATTTGAAAAGAGCAATCCCTAGAGTTTCTTGCTCGTTCTTCTCAGGGAAGTCAGCGTAGTGAATGAGCAGTAGCTTAAAAGAGACGTTTTCAAGTGTAAATTTATTTTACCTATGGAACAAATGATTCTATGACTTTGACTTAGTACCGTTCATGTCTTTGCAGTTATGGTTCTAAGCGGCCTTGAAAATGTTATGGCCAGTTCGTGTCGTCACTTGATATCATAAAAAAGTCAATCGATCTATCACATACATTCATTAATCTTTTCGGCCAAGATCTTATTATGCTTTAACGCAGTCCAGCCTTTTAAAGAACCTTTTCGATTTGATCTGTAAACTTTCATCGTGGCCGTTCTCTTCCAATGTCGCCAGTCTTAGTAGCCGTATAGGTCCTCGTGAAAGAGTTCGTCTAGGGAAATACTGCCACCTATTTTTGCCGTCAAGCAGTAATGTTAGCATTAATGCGTTTCCGTTTTAAAGGGTGATGGTGAAATTACAGTCACATGAGACTTGTCAATTTGTATCAGGGTATCGGGCGCGGTGGCCGTACCCCTCAGATCTTTGCGGTTTAAAGCTCTGTGTGTATGGCACTGCAATTGTTATGAACAGGCGTGAGCTTATCATCAGGCGCACGACTTGCTCGTCGCGTCCCTTGATGTTATAAAAAAATCTATTTTTTGTATGTGTTCCATTTTAGTGATAGTAAGGCAATAGTGTTACATCACTATACTGTCCATAAACAACTCTTCAAAAGAGTTTTAGGTTTTAATCCGTGAACCTGGAGTATACAAAAGCCCGACGTGCACTTTAATCTCCACGCCCAAAAGTAACACACAATATTTTAATTTTCAGTGCGAAAGGCGAATGTAAAACTTACTAAAGCGTAATAACTATCCATTTGTCTTCAAAATGGCTGCAATAAACATGGTCGCGATTATTTATGTAATGGTCGTCGGCCAGGGTTGCCACGTGCGTTTTATTATTATCATTGTGGTTTTTCATTAACAGCTTGTTTCTGCATCAGGCCATTTTTGCTGCTTCATCTGGGTATTATTACCAAAAGTTAGGGCTATAAATTTATTTCTCCACTTCCAGCAGTTCGTATGATGAATAGACGATATCTGGTTGTTTAACAAAAAAAGCGTTTAAAATAGGTAATTTTGTTTTATCTAAATCGTGTTTATTTGTTTTTACCTTAGACTATGGAAACTAAGTTTTTACAGACAAACCAACGTTTCAGGTCCTTTATCTATGAAATAATTTCAATCAGCTGTGACTATGGGATCCATAAAGGTCCCGAAATGTTGTTTTTTTTTTGAAAGATTTGGCACCTAAAAAAATTGTTTCATTTCCTATGTGCAACATTTGCGAAAACCTAAGGCTCAACTCACACTGAGTCGAAGCGTCGCGATGCGTCATGTTTTTCGCCTATAGCATATTCATCTATATTTTCCAATTATTAAGGTACTAACGGCACTAATACGAGTGTCGTCGCGCGTCGACGCGCGTCTACTGGCGGTGGAGTTGAAAAACAGGACGCGACGCGACGCTTCGACTCTGCGCCAGTGTGAGTTGAGCCTAAGACCTCGATACGTGATATTCAAATAGTTAATCTTGCTATTAAAGTTAGCAATGTCGTGCTG